GTAAAACACAGTTAACCCTTTGATCGCTCCTACTAACGCCTTCCTGCCCAGTGCCATTAGTACAGTGTCAGTACTTTTTTTTTTTTCTAGCACTAATCACTGTATTGGTTTTACTGGGGATGTCAGTGACACCAGGTCAGTTCCCCCTCAGTGTCAGAATGCCCACTGCAGTCCCGCCATAAGTCGCTGATCGCCGCGAGTAGTAAAAAATAAAGATAAAAAATCCCAGTATCTATACCGCCATCTGTAAACGCTAGAACTTTCACATAAACTGTTTAATTTACACGTACTGAGATTTTTTTTTTTTTTTTTTAGCAAAAACATGGAGCAAAATACATTTTGGCCCAAATTTGACAAAATTAGATTTTTTTAAATTTTTTTACTAGACGTGTTTAATAGCAAAATGTCAAAAATATTTCTCAAAATTGTCTTTTTTTTTTTTTTTTTTTTATATGACAAAAAATAAAACTGCATAGGCGATCAAACACCACCAAAAGAAAGCTCAATTTGTGGGGAAAAAAAAAAAAAAAAAAAAAAAGGATGTCAATTTCATTTTGGTGCAGCATTGCATGACCGCGCAATTGTCATTTAAAATAACGCAGCGCCGTAACGCAAAAAAATGGCCTAGTCAGGACGAGGGGTAAATCCTCTGGAGGGCGAGGGGTTAAAGCCCAATTCTGGGAAAAGTAAATCTCCTCCCTTGCAGCAGGGCTGTCTCTGCACTGCATGGCCCCTTTCACACTGCTGGTCCAGTCAGGTCTGCCTCTTTTTCAGGTGGACCTGATCGGATGATCCATTCACCCCTATGGACAGGTGCGTGTAAACAAACTTGTGTGCTTACCTCCGAGTCTGATCCGGTTGGCTAAAAAAAAAAAAAAAAAAAAAAAAAAAAAAAAAAAAAAAACACCCAACAAGGAGATACTTTCTCCTCCATCTAGGCAGATCGGAAGGCAGTCGATGTAAAAATGGACAGTGGAGTCTGACACACAGCCCAGAGATCAGAGCGGGCTCTGTGTCCACTACACACAAACTGTGTCATCCACCCCTTCTGCTCTGATCAGCAAGGGGTCTGTGAGCAGTTCCCCTTCTGATCAGGACAGAGTCTGCCCCACCTGAAAAGGGGCCCAAGTAATAGGCCTAGAGGATGGGAAAAGCGGTTTTATTACGTGATCCAGCAAACACGCTCCCCTACATTATTCCAGCAGTGGACTGCTCCTCAGCATCCAATTCAGGGCTATGGGCCCTGCATCAGTCCTGATGACTTCAGCGGGCATCCAACTGCCAGAGCGTAGGGGAAAAGAGGCTGCTGGAACCGGACTTGCAGCATGCAGGAACAGAGGAAGTAAAACTGCTTTTCCCGTTCTTGTAAATGCAAATGGATATTTCATGCAGAGGCAGCCCCGATGCAAAGGAGGATTTTACCTTCACTGGAGCTTAGCTTCAAAAGAATTACTAAAACCACAACTGTTTTTTTTTCCATTTTGGATACAGAGAGAGTTTTACCCACGTCAGCTTTTGTTACCCTCTGTGTTCCATTGGGGAGAATTTTATTTGCTTCCTCTGCCGCAGGAAGTTAGAAGAAATCCCTTTAAAGTGAGAGAAATCCCTTGTTGTCGCCACAACTATTATTCCTATTTGAAGATTTCCCCTCTATTCTGGCCTATTCAACCCAAAATTTCGGATTTTCTTTCACTCTCAGCAATAACAATTACCATGACAAATAGAGATGGTGAATCTCCACAAGGCTGGAAAAATAGAGAGGGTGAATCTTCGCAAAGCTGGGGAAAAATAGAGCAAAGGGTGAATCTTCGCAAAGCTGGAAAAATAGAGGGTGAATCTTCGCAGAGGGTGAATCTTCGCAAAGCTGGAAAAATAGAGAGGGTGAATCTTCGCAAAGCTGGAAAATAGAGAGGGTGAATCTCCACAATGCTGGGAACATAGAGGGGTGTGAATCTCCACAATGCTGCTGGGAACATAGAGAGGGTGAATCTCCACAAAGCTGGAAAAATAGAGAGGGTGAATCTCCAAAGCTGGAAAAATAGAGAGGGTGAATCTCCAAAGGAAAAATAGAGAGGGTGAATCTCCGCAAAGCTGGAAAAAAAAAAGAGGGTGAATCTCCACAAAGCTGGAAAAAAAGAGGGTGAATCTCCGCAAAGCTGGAAAAATAGAGGGTGAATCTCTGCAAAGCTGGAAAAATAAGAGGGTGAATCTCTGCACAATGCTGGAAAAACAATAGAAATAGAGAGGGGAAACTCCACAATGCTGAAAACATAGAGAGGGGGAATCTCCACAATGCTGGGAACATAGAGAGGGTGAATCTCCACAATGCTGGAAAAATAGAGAGGGTGAATCTCCGCAATGGTGACAGACAGCAATAAAAACGTGACGAGTTCTAATCCCTCGACACTCTACAAGACTTAGCACGGGTTCACAGTTGTGTGGTGCGTTATATCACATGCGATTTGTCTGCAGAGCAAATGAGAGCCATACATTTTGCATGGCTCGAATTGCACGCGCACCAAAAACATGCAGGACCCTTCTTTGGGTCTGCACTAGAATCGGATCTCATGGGTATTCACACCTATGCGATCCGATGCTTCACATTGCACCGCATTTTGTGGACCGCTTTTGGGGTGTTGTTAACTTAACATACACACCCGCAGTGGTTCTCATGAACTGGGTGCGCTTCTGATGCTGTGCGGAATTCGCACTGAAAACGCTGTAAATTCCGCACCGCATCAGTGTGAAACAGGGCAGAAAGTAGAACTAGAAGCAAAACTTTTTTGTTTTGGATAGCATAAGGGAGGATTATAACCCATCAGTTTTTGTTTTGTCCTTTAGATTGTAAGCTCCACAAGCCGGGCCCTCCTATTCCTTCTGTACTGAAATGTATTGTAATTGTATTGTCTCCCTTATATTGTAAAGCACTGCGCAAACTGTTGGCGCTATAAATCCTGAATAATAATAATAATATATAAATCCTGTATAATAATAATAATATATAAATCCTGTATAATAATAATAATATATAAATCCTGTATAATAATAATAATATATAAATCCTGTAGAATAATAATATATAAATCCTGTATAATAATAATAATAATAATAATAATATATAAATCCTGTATAATAATAATAATAATATATAAATCCTGTATAATAATAATAATCTGTGTCCCATTGAGGAGATTTTCTCTCACTTCTTGTCCCATAGCCAAAACAAGAAGTGAAAGGAAATCCCTGCACAATAAGGAATCCCTTGGGATCCCCCAGGTCACCAAAACTAGTGTTCCCGTTGGAAGATTTCCCCTCTATTACTTTTCGGCGGACAATAGAAAATTTGGAATTCTCTTTTACTTTCACTTTTGAAAACAGGACAAATAGAGAGGGTGTATCTCTCTGACGGGACACAGACCGCAATAAAAACATAAAAAATAAAAAATTTAAAAAAAGAAGTTTTGCCTTTTGATATACTTTGTTATTTTAGTGAAAGCTGCAGTTTTAATTAGAGTGAAAACATCTGGAATGATATGAACCTGTTATATGAGATTTTAGAGCTGAACCAATCCGGCTTCACTGCAATGACATCACTTTTTAGGAATGAGCATGAGGCGGGGGATGGAAGCTTCAATGGGAGACCTACTGAGAAAGCTGGATCCATTAGTGACAAGACCTATAGAAAAAGGACCCGTACAATGTTACATTGTTGCAGCCCTCAGTGACAATACCTCTTGCTCCACCCCAATAATTAAATCCACTCGGGTGCCCTGCACACTGGTGGAAAGGCTTGTGATGTCTATGCCAGCCTCCCATCACTGCTTTTTAGATCGATTGATCGGTGGCTGTCTGTAGACATACCCCCCCCCCCACCAAGGATGGCATAGATCAGCTGATCGTTGTCAAAAAAGTAGAGGCGGTGTATGGATCATAACTGGGGTGCAGCCGGGTGGAGAGAGCACCAATGCTGTAATAGACGGGTGCAGATTACCAGGCGTACCATTCACCCACATCAGATATATGTGTTCTAGCTGCATTAACAGAAACTCATCTGATAACTTGCATTGGAAGAAAGAAAAAAAAAAAAAACCTCCGGGTGGGTGGGGGGGGGGGGGGGGGGATTTTTTTTTTTCTTTTCACCATCGCCAGGTAATGTGAATCTTAAAGTGGTTGCAAACCCTCATATATACCCAGTGAAGTGACTGGCCTCAGGTGATACACAGAGATAAAACAAATCCTTCCACATAAGTTATACCTGTTCACCTGCAGTCATCACTTCACTTCATCCTTTTAAAGTGCTGAATGTATAAAGCATGTCTGAGATGTCAGAAAAAAGCGGGCGGAGAGCTGAAATTACAATCCGCAGAGATTGGTGAGGAGAGGTCTAAGAGCTGATTGGAGGGAAGGGACATATACCCCCCTCCTTCACACAGCACACAGGAACAGAGCTGAGGCTGTCAATCACAGGCTGTGTGCTGGAGCTCCCTCCTGTCACCATATTTTACTTGTAACCTGTCGGATGTGATTCATGCTGATAGAGGACAGAGGCAACAGACAGAAATGACACTCAGGGGGTGATTTACTAAAACTGGAGAGTGCAAAATTTGGTGCCGCTGTGCATGGCAGCCAATCAGCTTCTAACATCAGCTTGTTCAATTAAGCTTTGGCAATAAAACCTGGAAGCTGATTGGTTTCTATGCGGAACTGATACCAGATTTTACACTCTCCAGTTTTAGTAAATAAACCCCTCAGTGCTCTGGATCGAGACAAGTACACACTATGGAGGGATATGCATTGCTAATATTTCATGTTTACGCTTTACAATCACTTTAACCGCCTCACGCCCACCATAAAGTAAACTAGCGGACGCAAGGTGGTTCTCTCGTTCTGGGAAGACGTCATATGACGACCTCCCATTTTCACCGAGCGCGGCGATCGGCGGTGCGCTGTGTCCGGATCACCGATCCACCACGGAAAGAGACGAAGATGTCGGCTCGGTCATGTGATCAGCTCTGTCCAATCACAGCTGATCACATGGAAACAGGGAAATGCCGGTTATTGGCATTTCTCTCCCCAAGAGCTGTCACGCTGACAGAGAAGAAGAGAGCCGGTAATCGGCATTCCTCGGAGGGAACATCTACACTGATCATCAGGGCACTGATGATCTGTGTAGCCCCAGCAGTCCCACCTGTCAGTGTCCATCAGTGCCCATCTGAGCTGCCTTTCAGTGTCGCCCATCAGTGCTGCCAGTCAGTGCCACCTAACAGTGCCATATATGCGTGATGCCTGTCAATGCCCATCAGTGATGCCTGTCAATGCCCATCAGTGCCGCCTACCAGTGCCTCCTCATCAGTGCAGCCTATCAGTGCCCATCACTGCAGCCTCATTAGCGCACATCAGTGCAGGAGAAAAATCACTTATTTACAAAATATTATAACAAAAACTAAGAAAAAAAACGTTTCAAAATTTTCAGTGGTTTTTGGTTTAGGAAAAAAATAAAAAACCCCAAGGTGATTAAATACCACCAAAATAAAGCTCTATAACAAAAAAAGGATAAAAATTTCATACGGGTACAGTGTTGCATGACCGCACAATTGTCAAAGTGCAACAGTGCTGAAAGCTGGAAATTGGCCTGGACAGGAAGGGGGTATAAGTGCCCGGTAGGCGAGGGGTTATATACCGGGACTCCTCAAGAGCAAAATGTTCTCTCACACTATACAATGCAATGAAATGACAGAACTCCGACTTCTAAGTACAGAACAAGAGTCACAGTGCAAGGGAACTGACAGGTCAGCTACACCCCAATATTCTACACACCCTGCAACACCCCAACTGCCACTCTGATCTCCTCGAAAATGCCAATACTAATGTACAGAACGGACACCCCCGACGCCACAGAGTCCATCACACCCCAGAGTCCATCACACCCCGACACCACAGAGTCCATCCCAACCCAACCCAACCCGACACCCCAGAGTCCATCACACCCCAGAGTCCATCACACCCCGACACCACAGAGTCCATCACACTACACAGTCCATCCCAACCCAGAGTCCATCACACCCCAGAGTCCATCACACCCCAGAGTCCATCACACCCCAGAGTCCATCACACCCCAGAGTCCATCACACCCCAGAGTCCATCACACCCCAGAGTCCATCACACCCCAGAGTCCATCACACCCCGACACTGACCTCCCAAAGTGCATTCCACCCCTTCCCCCACACAGTGCATACCATACCAACACTGCCCCCCCCCCCCCCCCAATGCATCACACCTCAGACCTGACCCCCCCCCCCACACTGTACTCCTCCAACACTGACCAATCACGGTGCAGAATTCCAGCACTGATAATGAGAGCGCAGCCAGCACTGACACCTCATAGTGTCTCATACCTCACCACCCCCCACACTGTACAAGCAGCACTGACACCTCATCACCGACCTCTCACTGACACCTCATAGTACCTGACACCCCCGAATGTCCCCTCACAGTACACCCCCCACTAGCACACAGACCCCCCACACCCCGAACTCACCGTCCACCGGGGCCGCTCTCACCCTCTGACGCCCCGCCCGCCGGAAGTGACGTCACCGCCCCTCTCTCCGCACCACAGATCCCCCGCAGCCCGGAGCGGGCCTATGTTCATCGTCTCCAGCCGTCTCCAACGTGCGGCCACCCTGCCGACCGTCCTCCCGCCCCGCCCTCTCCCCCTCGACGTGCGCGGCCCCGCCCGCTCCTCAGGCGCGCCCCGGGGCTCTGAGCGACAAGGTGCGCATGCGCTGTATCCTCTCGGCCATCGGGAGCGTGCGCCGCCTCCGTGCTCCTGTGCGTGTGTGAACGCGTACCCTCTAAGGTAGCGCGCCTGCGGTCTCCGTGTGTGTTGCCGCCTCCCCATGGAGGTACCGTGAACTGCAGGTGTGAGTGTGGGAGATCATTATACCAGAATGCTGTGTAACAAGAAACTGACTACATAAAATTACAAGAGACCGTCACCGTACAGAGATGGGAGTCACAAGAGACCGTCGCCGTACGGAGATGGGAGTCACAAGAGACCGTCACCGTACAGAGATGGGAGTCACAAGAGACCGTCACCGTACAGAGATGGGAGTCACAAGAGACCGTCGCCGTACGGAGATGGGAGTCACAAGAGACCGTCGCCGTACGGAGATGGGAGTCACAAGAGACCGTCGCCGTACGGAGATGGGAGTCACAAGAGACCGTCGCCGTACGGAGATGGGAGTCACAAGAGACCGTCGCCGTACGGAGATGGGAGTCACAAGAGACCGTCGCCGTACGGAGATGGGAATCACAAGAGACCGTCGCCGTACGGAGATGGGAATCACAAGAGAGACCGTCGCCGCACGGAGATGGGAGTCACAAGAGACCGTCGCCGCGCGGAGATGGGAGTCACAAGAGACCGTCGCCGCACGGAGATGGGAGTCACAAGAGACCGTCGCCGCGCGGAGATGGGAGTCACAAGAGACCGTCGCCGCGCGGAGATGGGAGTCACAAGAGACCGTCGCCGCGCGGAGATGGGAGTCACAAGAGACCGTCGCCGCGCGGGAGATGCGAGTCACAAGAGACCGTCGCCGCGCGGAGATGCGAGTCACAAGAGACCGTCGCCGCGCGGAGATGGGAGTCACAAGAGACCGTCGCCGCGCGGAGATGGGAGTCACAAGAGACCGTCGCCGCGCGGAGATGGGAGTCACAAGAGACCGTCGCCGCGCGGAGATGGGAGTCACAAGAGACCGTCGCCGCGCGGAGATGGGAGCACAAGAGACACCGTCGCCGCGCGGAGATGGGAGTCACAAGAGACCGTCGCCGCGCGGAGATGGGAGTCACAAGAGACCGTCGCCGCGCGGAGATGGGAGTCACAAGAGACCGTCGCCGCGCGGAGATGCGAGTCACAAGAGACCGTCGCCGCGCGGAGATGCGAGTCACAAGAGACCGTCGCCGCGCGGAGATGGGAGTCACAAGAGACCGTCGCCGCGCGGAGATGGGAGTCACAAGAGACCGTCGCCGTGCGGAGATGGGAGTCACAAGAGACCGTCGCCGTACGGAGATGGGAGTCACAAGAGACCGTGGCCGTACGGAGATGGGAGTCACAAGAGACCGTCGCCGCACGGAGATGGGAGTCACAAGAGACCGTCGCCGCACGGAGATGGGAGTCACAAGAGACCGTCGCCGTACGGAGATGGGAGTCACAAGAGACCGTCGCCGCACGGAGATGGGAGTCACAAGAGACCGTCGCCGTACGGAGATGGAGTCACAAGAGACCGTCGCCGCACGGAGATGGGAGTCACAAGAGACCGTCGCCGTACGGAGATGGGAGTCACAAGAGACCGTCGCCGCACGGAGATGGGAGTCACAAGAGACCGTCGCCGTACGGAGATGCGAGTCACAAGAGACCGTAGCCGTACGGAGATGCGAGTCACAAGAGACCGTCGCCGTACGGAGATGGGAGTCACAAGAGACCGTCGCCGTACGGAGATGGGAGTCACAAGAGACCGTCGCCGTACGGAGATGGGAGTCACAAGAGACCGTCGCCGTACGGAGATGGGAGTCACAAGAGACCGTCGCCGTACGGAGATGGGAGTCACAAGAGACCGTCGCCGTACGGAGATGGGAGTCACAAGAGACCATCAACGTACAGATAAAAGAATCACAAGAGACTGTCATAATACAGAGATGGGAGTTACAAGAGACTGTCATGGTACAGAGATGAAAGTAACAAGAGACTGTCATTGTACAGAGATGAAAGTCACAAGAGACTTTCACTGTACAGAGATGGGAATCACAAGAGACTGTCATGGTACAGAGATGGGAATCACAAGAGACTGTCATGGTACAAAGAAGCATGTTACATGCTCTATAGAGGTGCTGATTACATGAACATGCTGTATACAGATGCACATTACAAGAGACTGTTATGTGTGGGGAATGTATGTTACAATGGATTTGAGAGGCTACAGCATGTTACAGGTGATTGTTAAAGACTGTGACAGGAGACTGACTACTGCTGTTAGAACCTATTCCCCCTTATGGACCTTAGGTGTGTTATGTACAAAAAAAAAAACTTTAATGAAGTACACAGGGTGGAGCCAGCAGACATGCCCCTCCCCCCTGCAGCAGCTCCTCCCACTGCCCTTTCCAGCAATTGGAGCTACATTGACGTCTCCAATTGGGAGCTCAGTGAACTTTCTGTCTGTAGTCACCAAAGATGAAGGCAGGTCACAGGACGCCCCTAGAACTAGAAGCCCCGGCCAATGACCTGACACATGGCAGTCTCATTCTATGCCAGCAAAAAAAAAAAAGATACAACAAATTTTAAAAAAACATAGCAGTTTGCTGAGTGAAAGTACATTTGTTCTGTCCAAAAGGGGCAAAATAAGCAAAAAAAACCCAAACATATTTGGCCTCTGGATGGCGCTAAATATCATCGGGGGGCTAAATGGACATTTTTTTTTTCTATTGGTTTAACACAGAAAACTCCATAAAATGAGGGATGATTTAGTGATTGAGTTGAAGAAGATTGAAACGATTAAACAGATAAATAGAAATAGGTTGGTATACAGAAAGGGAAAGAGAATTTAAGACCTGGGGGGGAGGGAGAGAGGGTTGGGGGGGAGAAATGGGGGAAAAGGTGGTGTATTTGATGATGTGATATTATTGTTATTTGTACTGTCTCTTTTTCTAAAGAAAATTAATAAAATATATGATAATTAAAAAATAAAAACAGAAAACTCCAAATTCTACAGCGCTGAGAATCATGCACATTTCCTATGATACTTAGGGCCATCTACTGGTTGAATGCGGTATTTTCCATTTTTATCCCCCCCATGAACATTTGTTTGTTTTCCCCCTTGTTCCCATAGAAGGAACTGTCGTGCACTTTCATTTGGTGCAGGGGCAGACTGACCATTTGGAAACTCAGGCACTGCCCGAGGGCCCGGGGTCAGTAGGGGGCCCCATGAGATGCCCCTGGTACCTTTTTCATAGGTTTTTTTGAGTTTGGGCAAGGACACAGGGGCCCCATGATCCCCTATTGCCCGGGGGCCCCATGAGTTGTCAGTCCGCCCCTGATTTGGTGAACCGCTTTTTTTACAAACAGACCCCGCAGTGTCATTAGCACCATTTGTAGAGCCAGTATTGTGTCTGACTGGGGTGGGGATTTGCAAAATTCACTAAGTCTGTGGGAACAAAGGAAGAAGTAACTTTACCCCCCCACACACAAAAAAAAAACCTCCCCCAGTGTGCGCCCCTTGTAATGTACAGCAGGGGGACGCAGCCAAAGTCCACACATTACGGCACGGTCTCAGACTGACCTCACTGTAACCCCGACTCTCCCTAAATGCTCCCTCCGAGGCTCTCTCTGTGT